ATTTTTTGAAATATACCAATAGTTTTTTTATTAATATAAATTAAAGTTTTTACTTATTTATATTTAATTTTTTTAATCAACCTAATATATGTACTATATAAGGGTAAGCATTTGAACCGAATCAGATCAACTAATTCTTGGACTGGACCGATTTGATAGAAATTTGTGGTCCTCTTACCAAACCTGAAAAAGTGCATACAGTATAACTTATTGAAACCTGAAAGTTAGTTTATCTATTATTATTGTAAGGGTTAGTATTTTGACCAAACTGGATCTTAAACAGAACCGGGTTTATAAAAATTGATGGACCTTAGACCGAAAATAGACCGATTCACATCTGGTCCAGATCCGATTTTCAATCCGATCCAAAGGTCCAAATGGTCACGCCTAAACAACCTTCATTGCTCGCTTCTAAACTACATGGACGTCACATATATCCGTTAACGGATTTTAACGGAAAAGATGATCCTCACTTGTGTCCGGCGCCGTCAAACGCCATGGTCAGCGCATATGTAGTTCTTTGTAATGCTTTATTCTCGCTAGTAAAATCTAGCATGTTTTATTTCCATCGTCGTCCATGACACTCGAACCGGAAGGATGAAACGAAGCCATCTCTTGCACGCCTTCAACGATAATCAGCAACTACGAAGATCCTTTGATTTCCTCTCTAGAACTTTTTCTACTTTTCCTTCACAATTACCCTCAAACAATTGTAACCATCATCACCATCTAATCACCCTCATCTCTACCAGTAAAACCCTAAAACATCTTTTCCAAATCCACACGCAATTAATAGTCTCAGGTTTCACGCAAGACAATTTCACAAACAGCCGTCTCATTGAATCTTACACTTTATTCAAAAAAATCAATCTTGCTCGATTAGTTTTCAATGTTACACCAAACCCAAGTGCTGTCTTATGGAATTCGATGATTAAAGCTCATATAAGATCAATGCAGCATCAAGAAGCAATCGTTATGTACAATAAAATGACAAACAACGATTCTTTTGAAGTACAACCAGACAAGTATACTTACACATTTGTACTAAAAGCTTGTACTCAGCTTTTGGACATTGAAAAGGGAGTTTCGCTTCACGAAGAGATCGTTAAGAAAGGATTGGAGTCTGATGTTTTCATTGGCACAGGACTTATCGATATGTACTGTAAATGCGGGCATTTGGTTCACGCACGTGAAGTGTTTGATAAAATACCTAAGAAAGACATAGTGGTCTGGAATGCGATGGTAGCTGGGTTATCACAAAGTAAGGATTTTACTCAGGCAATTGAAATTTTCCAGAGTATGCAGCTGCGAGATGGAATGGAGCCAAATAACGTTACCCTGTTGAATTTATTTCCAGCAATTCATAAGCTCTCTAGCGTTAGATTCTGCAAATGTATTCATGGATATGTAATGAAAAGAAAATTCCCAAACACGATTATGAACGGATTGATCGATGTATACTCCAAGTGCAAAAGAACAGACATCGCCTTCCAGATATTTAACCTAATGCAAGAACCAGATGACGTTTCATGGGGTACACTAATGGCAGGATTTTCACATAACGGGTGTCACTACGAAGTCCTGGAATTATTCGATCAAATGAAGAACAATCATCTAAACATAAATATCGTATCAGTTGTAAGCGCTTTATCAGCAGCTGGTGAAACAAAAGATTTAGAAAAAGGAAAAATAATCCACGAATGTGTGAAGAAAAACAAATTTGATTTCGATATCCGTGTATCCACTCCTCTCATCACAATGTACGCAAAGTGTGGTGAGTTAAAAAAGGCTCAAGATTTATTCAGCAACCTTTCTGGAAAAGATATGGTTGCTTGGTCTGCAGTGATCGCAGCTTTTACCCAATCTGGTTACCATGAAGAAGCCCTTTCTTTATTTCGTGATATGCAGTTTGATTTTAAACCAAGTATGGTAACCATAGTTGGTGTTCTTCCAGCTTGTGGAGAGTTATCATCCAAGAAACTAGGAAAGAGTCTCCATAGCTACACCATTAAACACAATATCGATTCAGACACTTCAATAGAAACTTCCCTAGTTGCAATGTATGCTAAATGTGACGATTTTAATTCAGCAATCACTATTTTTGAGAGAATGTTACATAAAGAAGTAGTAGCATGGAATGCTTTGATCAATCGATATGCACAGATTGGTGAGACTGATCTTGCAATCAATATGTTTTGCAGATTACAATCATCATCAGATGTGCATCCTGATAGTGGGACCATGGTGGGTGTGGTTTTGGTATCAGCCTTTTTAGGTGATATAAATCTTGGAAGTAACATTCATGGGTTAGTTATGAAACACGGGTTTGAATCAGATTGTCATGTTAATAATGCTCTTATAGACATGTATGCCAAAACTCAAAGCCTTGAATCAGCTGAATTGTTGTTTAGTATGACAAAAGTTAAAGATAGGGTGCTATGGAATGTAATGATTGGAGCATATATGCGACATGGGTATTTTCAAGAATCCATTTTTACATTTCGCCAAATGAAATCAGAAGGTTTTAAGCCTAGTGTAGTCACATTTGTAAGCATACTTCCTGTAGTATCAAGTTTGGCAGCCATTAAAGAAGGTGCATCTTTGCATGCTGACATCATCCGTACAGGGTTTCTTTCTTATACACCTGTCATGAACAGTCTTATCGACATGTATTCAAAATGTGGGCGTGTTGATTGTTCAGAGATTGTTTTTGATGAAATCAAGAATAAAGATACGGTTTCTTGGAATGTAATGGTGGCAGGATACGCGATAAATGGGTATGGGGATCTTGCGTTTGGTTTCTTTTCGTTTATGGAAAGTAATAATGTCGAAATCGACCCTGTGTCGTTTCTCAGCGTGTTGTCGGGTTGTAGACATGTGGGGTTAGTTGAGGAGGGCAAAAAGGTCTTTTGTTCGATGAAGGAAAAACATGGTATTGAGCCGAAGTTGGAGCATTATGCTTGTATGGTGGATTTGTTGGGAAGGGCGGGGTTGTTTGATGAGACTTTGGGGTTGATTAAGTCGATGCCTATGGAAGCTGATGCAGGAGTTTGGGGGGGTTTATTGGGTGCATGTCAGATGCATTGTAATGTGAAGGTAGCTGAGTTGGCATTGGAGAATCTTGTGAAATTAGAGCCAAGAAATCAAGCTCATTATGTGGTGTTATCAGGGATTTATGCGGAATCTGGGAGATGGGGAGATGCTAGAAATTTGAGGATGAAGATGATTGAAATGGGGATTAAGAAGACTCCGGGGTGGAGTTGGGTTAATGAAAACCAGGTTCAATTTAATCAGTAGTCAACTTTTATTGTTATAGAGGCTGTAAATTAATGTTTATAATCAAGAGATTAGAGGAATATGTTTTTGTTTTTATATTAACGATATAATGTTTATAATCAAGATATTAGAGGAATATGTTTTTGTTTCTATATTAACGATATAATATAAGTTTTGAAATGGTTTATGTAACGTTTTCGTAAGCAGGAAATAATGGTAATAATGGTTGTTTTGGGATATGAGGAGTATGTTTTTGTTTCTATATTAACGATATAATGTTTATAATCAAGAGATTAGAGGAATATGTTTTTGTTTCTATATTAACGATATAATGTTTATAATCAAGATATTAGAGGAATATGTTTTTGTTTCTATATTAACGATATAATATAAGTTTTGAAATGGTTTATGTAACGTTTTCGTAAGCAGGAAATAATGGTAATAATGGTTGTTTTGGGATATGAGGAGTATGTTTTTGTTTCTATATTAACGATATAATGTTTATAATCAAGAGATTAGAGGAATATGTTTTTGTTTCTATATTAACGATATAATGTTTATAATCAAGATATTAGAGGAATATGTTTTTGTTTCTATATTAACGATATAATATAAGTTTTGAAATGGTTTATGTAACGTTATAATATAAGTTTTGAAATGGTTTATGTAACGTTTTCGTAAGCAGGAAATAATGGTTGTTTTGGGATATGAGGAGTATGTTTTTGTTTCTATATTAACGATATAATGTTTATAATCAAGAGATTAGAGGAATATGTTTTTGTTTCTATATTAACGATATAATATAAGTTTTGAAATGGTTTATGTAACGTTATAATATAAGTTTTGAAATGGTTTATGTAACGTTTTCGTAAGCAGGAAATAATGGTTGTTTTGGGATATGAGGAGTACTAAAAAAGAGGGCCCAACCGGGTTCGAACCGGTGACCTCTTGATCTGCAGTCAAATGCTCTACCACTGAGCTATGGACCCGTTTGATGATTGTATGAATCATTTTATTATATTATCATTTAAAATTCGAAAAAAGAAGAGTAAAACGTCGAGCTAGAGCGCTTTGAAAATGATTTTTATAAGAAAATATTAATCTAAACATAAAATTTGGACAGAAATAACCTATCTAAACACTAGTTTAACTCAAATCCATCATCTTAGAATCTATTTTTTTTTTCTCATCTTAGAATCTATTTTTTTTCTCCCTTCTCGATAGTATTTCAACAAGTATTTAGTTAGTTGAACATAACTCGTGATTGATGATTGATAACTAACGAGTAAAAAAATAACACAAATTAGAGACAGAATTACGTTTGTTTGATAGAAATGATATAACTAAAAAAATGACACATATAAATCATCTCGAAATGTCGTGAAAACAAGTTGATGTAACAATTCCTTCGGAAAATATTATGATATGCATTGTTGTAACAAACTAACAATATTTATGTTGAAGTTATGTTCCTACATTGCTTGATATGTCAATTAGGGGAGGGGGTGAAGATTAGATGGAATAATTGGGTTCCTATCAAGTTGAACATTCTTATATGATGTATCAGACTATGGAGCATTCCGAAGAAGGAACTATTGTAGGCTAGAGACATTTAGGTGGAGATTATTATTTTTTTAGCCGTTTAGATTGTGTTTGGTGGTGCATGTTTTTTCAAGTTGCCCCTATGTGGTCGAGCTTTAGGTTTGGGTTATGTTTGGTGGGGGTTAGAGTTTCCGACTCTCTTTACTCTTCATTCTCTTATTACTAGAACAATTTAGTTTGACATTTTCGTGATCATCATAAACTTCAACACTCAACAAATAAGCATTTTCTTTATCATCATAAACTTCAAAACTCAACAAATAAGCATTTTCGTTATCATCATAAACTTCAAAACTCAGCAAATAAGCATTTTCTTTATTATCATAAACTTCAAAAGTCAATAAATAAAACAAGCATTTGAATGGATCTTCATTGGTGAACCGAATATAAAACATTTGAATGTATGTTGAAACCATATGAGATAAATAATTAAACCATCAACTTCGAATTTATATTCATCAAAGGGTGATCTATCATTACAGAAACTTAAATTCCATTAAAAGTTCAATAACTTCGTAATTAACCAATTATGTCACTTTAATGGATTGGACATGGACCACTAGAATACATTCCCAGTAACATTAAATCACTAGAAACACCAATAATTTTAAGTGCATAGATCATTTAGATGATCCACCATTGAATGGATTCAAAATTCAAATAAAAATATTTAAGAGACAAATAGATTAACCTTAAGTGTTTCTCAATGTGAATTTGAAGCTAAAAACCGAAAGAAATTATTATAGCTATTCTAAAATAGATTTTTCCATTTTAATTGAATGTCTCCACTTTTTCTTTCCTCTAAATGTCCAAATAAATAAGAGAGTAAATCTAAGGCTCTAAGTCTTCAAAAATTATCTTATTTTGACAAGATTATTCTCTCCACTAAGTCTATTTGTAGATTGTACCTCAACCGGAGTTTTCTTTAACATTTGTTATCTCTAACAGAATAGGTTTATGACCATGTAGACCTAAAACTTAAATGTGATGAGTACTATGGTAATCCTCTTAAACAGGCTTAAGTAGAGAGATCACGTCCAACAATAAGTCCAAGGTGCTGTTTGTTTTTCTGAAGCCAAAATGTCTGCAGTCTGCGGACCACATCTGCAAGCCTCTGCAGCAGAAGAGGTGGACCAAACGTCTGCAGTCTGCAATAAGAAGACTGTTTGTTTTTTAACGTCTGCAGGCTGCTAAAATAAACTGAATTTTAAATAAAATTATTTTACAAACTTAAAATGATTTTTCAACACCAAAATTTTAATAATAATAGTCTTATAACATTGAAAATAAAATTCATGCAACTAAATTAGTCATACAATAAAAAAAAATGTTTTACAATAACAATTTCATTTAAAACAATTCAATGTATATTGTGCATCAACTGATCAGCAATTTCATCACGTAACTGAGTCATATATTCACGGTCTGCTGCAGTACCATGTGTTGGAATCTCGTCTTCATCATCATCAATGGCCACATTGTTATTTCGAAACGGGACATTGGGTTCATCGTATCGTGCGAAATACTCATCACTCAATCCTTCTTTCCTTGTATAATTATGAAGCGCGAAGCATGCCATGGCAATGTTTCTTTGTGTCACAAACGGGAATGGTGTCATCCTCTTCAATATAGGGAAGCGTGCTTTCAAAACACCAAAAGCACGCTCAATGACATTTCGAAGTTTTGCATGTCCATGGTTAAATTTTTCTTTATTGGTCAATGCACGTCTTTGACGAAAATCTCCAAGCCAATACCTCACATTACGATAAGGGGCCATAAATCCTCGAGTGTGTGCATACGCGGCATCACAAAGATAATATTTGTCTGAAAAAAATGCAAAACACTAATCAATTTTCAAATTAAAATGAAAATATTAAAAAAAAAACAAAAAATTACCTGGTGGTGGAAACGGGAATGATGCTTGTGGATCGGCTACTGCTTCTGATAATATTCTAGAGTCATGCGCTACCCCTTCCCACCCGGTCACAACAAATGTAAAAATCATATTGAAGTCACATATTGCCAATACGTTTTGGTAGCAATCTCCCTTTCCCCTACTTCTATATAAGTCTTGTTTCTTAGCAGGGACAACAGCATGTATCAAAGTGCCATCAAGTGCACCAACTGCTCCTTTGAAAACCCTTCGTAGCCTCCTATTATGTCCTGGAATGTTTGGATTCGGATTAAAAGATGTTGGTACTATAACATCTTGTGCGAAAAGCATCATTTTTTCCAACACTTCATAAAAAAATTTATGAATTGTTTGCTTCGAGTGTTGAAATCTCCGCTTGATAATCACGTAACGTTGATTATGTCCGATCATCATCAAAAACATAGCCATCTTTTCCTCAACTGATACATGTTTGTTGTCCTTTAATGAGTAATTTGCTCTAAAATGAGCACATAGTCGTACAAAAGATTCACGGAACATGCGTAATACTTCAACACATTGTAAACGATTACGGTGTAATAACTCCAATGTGTATTCGTGTCCCGTCATTTCCGAATCATTATCCCGCAATCGTTTCACACCCCTCTTCCAAAAATAACGGATGTATAGGTACATTAGAATTACGAGAAGTAACTTTTGATCGTGATCCATATGAACCTAAAATCAACAAAGTAGAACTTTAAAAAACATTACATAAACCATATTTCAAGTATCAAATAAACATTCCATTTATCATATTTCAAGCCAAAATAACATTACATAAACCATATTTCAAGTATCAAATAAACATTCCATTAATCATATTTCAAGTACCAACAAGGGCAAAAAGACCTAACAAAATAGTTCCAACAAAGGCAAAAACATTTAACAAAGTAGTTCCAACAAGGGCAAAAAGACCTAACAAAATAGTTCCAACAAAGGCAAAAACATTTAACAAAGTAGTTCCAACAAGGGCAAAAAGACCTAACAAAATAGTTCCAACAAAGGCAAAAACATTTAACAAAGTAGTTCCAACAAGGTCAAAAAGACTTAACAAATACTTTCAACACTAGAAAATCATCGAACAATCTTCCCATCCTTCAAAACTCCTAAACTGGTACCCGTCATCTCAAGCCACCCTCGTAATATCTCGGGAACATCGGGCAAATGCATCCACATCTCTCTCATGTTCATGGTTCCTCCAAAAATATGATATGCGACAAAGCGTAAAGGATCTGTAGGGCCTAACTGAAGGACCTCTAACTTCTCTAAACACTGAGGAATTGTATACCCTTTAGTCAAACTTTGTAGAGCTTTCTTCATTTCAAATGCTAAATCGTCAGCAGTAACAGAAGTTCCATCAGGTGAAGAAGCAGACGGTGAGGCACTAGGAGCTACAGGAGTTGAGGGTTTAGCCCTTTTGTTGGGGTTACCGGATGGTGTAGCAGTATATGGTGAACCAGTATATGGTGAACCAGCAGAAGGTGAAGCTGCAGAAGGTGAAGCAGCAGAAGGTGGTGGCTCATGATGAGAAGTGTCAACACCATCATCATCCATTGCATCAAAAGGGGTGGCGGTGATCTGAAGTGGTGGAACACGACAGGAGGATGCGCCAGCTACTGATGATGATTGGGTTGAGTAACTCCTAAAATTACCAGTAGCACTATTTCCATCAAAAAGACGTGCACAAAGATCTGGAAAAGGCAATGGAATTGTTCTCAAAGAAGCAGCTTTCGGATGCCCCTAAACCCAAATGTAACAAGAAATAGTATAAGAATATTTGGCAACTTCAAACGTAAATGTATATATATATATATATATATATATATATATATATATATATATATATATATATATATATATATATATATATATATTATTGTATATTAATGTATATGTACCTTCTTAAAATCATCCCACTCCTCGGCTGTTAAATTAAAAGTGTTTGTTTGAGAATTGTATATATTACCGGTTTTGTTTTTTAAATATACCCATCCAGTGTATTTGGCTTTCAGATTGTCATATGCGTTTTTCATTTGTTTTTTAGTCAACTCAAACCCAAATTTCTCCTTAAGAACTCTTCCAAGCCTTATCCATGAATCTTTCTGTAAACTCAATCCTTTTCTACCAACACTCTCTACTTCTTCAATACAAGTATCCAATAAGCATTTTAAGTGCTCATTGGTCCATTGTTGTTTTTCTCCCATCTCTAATAACCAACTAACAATAAACAGTGAACAAGTAACATCATTATTTCAAGAAAAAAATTTTATTTTCACGACAAATTTGTAATTTTGTTTGATTTTCAATCACAATAATGTGAAACTTTTTATTCAATTATAAATAACCTCAATTAGAGTGTTTTAATTCAAAGTTTTCTAAAAAACTTTATAAATCAAATAAACTTCACTTTAACGACAAAAAACTTTACTTCTATAAAATAAACAAAACTTATGTCTCTTTTTGATGCTTTCTATCATATACATACAAAATCAACAATCATATACATATACACTATCATATAAATATACACAATCAATAATCATATATATATATATATATATATATATATGCAACTTTGAATTACTGCATATTTAAGCACAAACACATCACAACAATCTAGTTGAGGCTTTTTATTGCTAATTGAAGCACAAACACATCACAACAATCTAGTTGAGGCTTTTTATTGCTAATTGAAGCACAAACACATAATCAAATCTAGGTTCAATTGCTAATTGAAGCACAAACACATCACAACAATCTAGTTGAGGCTTTTTATTGCTAATTGAAGCACAAACACATAATCAAATCTAGGTTCAATTGCTAATTGAAGCACAAACACATCACAACAATCTAGTTGAGGCTTTTTATTGCTAATTGAAGCACAAACACATCACAACAATCTAGGTTCAATTGCTAATTGAAGCACAAACACATAATCAAATCCAATTTCACATTCAAAGATAAATTACTTTCATTACAAATGTTTTTATTTTACACAATTTATTTGACAACAATCTTTTGAGGCTTTTTATTCTACCTGTTCAATTACTACAACACATTATTGTGGAATCTTGATCAATAAAAACAGAAACGTGTAGCTCACAGCAGGAAAAAATAAAAACAGAAACGTGTAGCTCACAGCAGGAAAAAAAAAAATGAACCTGTGAGATCGAAGGATGTCGGATCGGAGTTTGGAAAATCGATTGATGGTTAACGCCGAAAAATCGAGCAGGGTGGAGTTCGGAAAATCGATTGATGGTTAACGCCGGCTGCTGCAATCGATTATGAAGTTCGGAAAATTGGAGGACGTCGGATCGGAGAGGAAGGCGGCGATTGATGGCTTTGATCGAAGAGGAGGGTTGCGACGGTGGTGGTCGCTGCAAGGTGGAGAACGATCGAACGATGGAGGGTGTTTTCTGGGAGGGTTGGACGAGGACGGGAGGCGGAAGCAAAAGAAAAAAAGACGGCGTTTTTTTTTTTTTAGGTTAAAGGGCTTGCAGACTTTAGAAGATGCTATCCCATATCTGTGTGGTGAAGACCTCGCGCAGACGTTTTTATGTCTGCGCACTTCAGAAAAACAAACAGACTGCAAACCATTATGTCTGCGCGTGGTCTGCGCCTCGCAGACAGAAGTGGTCACGCAGACCTGCAGAGAAAAAACAAACACCCTCTAACTTATGGTCATCCTCTTACAAAAATGGTCCCTCAAGTTTTGTAAAAAAAACAAGATTATTTAAACAAAAAAAAAAATCAATTGACCTATTTTTATCATTTCACATCTATTTAACAGTGGAATATGGATGGTAAATTGGTAACAGTCCCCAAGGACCATTAGGCATTAGTAAACAAAACCAATTTTTTGTGTGTTTCTGAAATAATAACAGTGTCCAATTACAATTACGGGGCGAAAGCGTTACGCGTCCATAAAAAGCAGCCTCACATCAAAAGTTGAGCCAATCAAAGACCTACACGTGGTCTCTCATGCCTTGAAACCCTCCCTCCAAATTCCCCCCAACCTCATCGTTCCTTCATAAACCCTAACGATCACATCACGAAATTTACCCTTTCCTTGCCGAAAATGACGGGAGGTATCGACATGACACTCGATGATATCATCAAGAACAACAAGAAATCCGGAAAAACTGATACCGATACTAGGTCCAGAGGCGGAGGCCGCGGCGGTGGCGGTGGCCGTGGTCGCGGTTCCGAATTCGGTCCCGGCCCCACCAGACGTGTTGACAACCGGGTTACACCCCGTATGAGCCCGTACTTCGCTCCGCAGGTGGTGTTTTAGGGGTTTTCCGTGTATATCAAGATCATTTTTACCTTTTATTGTAATGTCTAGAATTCTACATGCTTTTGTGAGCACAATGGGTAGTACTTAGGCCAAGATGATGATTACAGTGTGTCTGACATGTGAGGCGAACTTAATAATTACGTATATATTGATGTATTTGTGTTTAATATTGTTGATAAGGTAGAGATTATCATTCTTTGTGTCTAAGGAATATAGATGTGAGGCGACTTAGGGTTACGGTTTTGATGGCAGGCTTTTCGTGTGCAAGAAATGCTTGTTAGAGGGCATTCCAATTCTGAATCTGGGACAAAGCTTTACATCTCGAACTTGGACGAAGGAGTTACTAACGAGGATATTAAGGTAATAAATCCATTTGATTTCTTTTTCTGTATGTTTCTGCAATAGATATGCACATAGATATAATATAAACTGGAGTAATTCATGAGTTGTTACTTGTTTTTTTAATGTTTTTGCTCATTTTTATAATGTTGAAGTATCAAATTTCTATGGAAAATCAAGTGATGAGCATGATACTCATATGCAGGTGCTGTTTTCAGAAGTTGGTGAGTTGAAAAGGTACTCGGTCCATTATGATAGAAGTGGAATATCAAAGGTATGTTAAAGTTTAATACCTTTGCAAATATGATTGTATTTGTATTTACTAGTTTTTTTTATGGAAAAACAGGGAACTGCAGAGGTGGTGTATGTGCACCAATCAGATGCAGTTGCAGCTATGAAGAGATATAACAATGTACAGCTTGATGGCAAACCCATGAGACTTGAACTGGTTGGATTGAACATTGTTACCCGTGTCCCCATGCCATCAGTGCAAAAGGGTATTTTGGGAAATCCCACTAATCCTTCTCCAAGGTTCGGATTCTCTTCTTCTATACTACAGTAAATAACTAGTGGCATTGTAAATCTGAGATATTTATCATCAACTTTGTTGCTAGAATTGTTGGAAGAGGGCATGTTGACAGCTTTGGAGGTAGAATTGCTGGAAGAGGGCAAAGGCGTGGTGGTGGTGGTGGTTTCGGTGGTGGCGGTGGGAGGAGTGGAAGTGGGAGGAGCGGTGGGCCTCCAAAGATAATGTCAGCTGAAGAGCTTGATGCTGATCTGGAGAGGTATCGTATGGAAGCAATGCGTATAAAGTAAAGAAAGAAATGAATGATAGTTGGTTGTTGAGTTGAGGTAGTCATTTTTGTTGAAACTTGAAAGCTTCCAAGATTTTTGTCATGTAGAGTGTGTAGACTCACTGTCACTGTTAAAAAGTTGGTAGATAGCAATTAGCATACACTAATTTTGGTGGTTGATTTCTGCTAATGAGTTTTGAGTTTTGACAAACACAAGTTGATAAATTTGCTAGTGCAAGCTTCATTTCTTTAGCCAACTTTGACAAACTAGTTTCAATGCATGTCAAATACAATATTCCTAATGTGATATAGTTAGAACGTTGTTTGACTAAAATAACCTTTAACTCATTTTAGGAGGATGATGACACACTGTTAGCACATGTTATATATTTTATTCACCAGACAAGAAGTGGGTTTACACAAACTAAATTCATCACTGCTAATACTAATCAAGGTCTCAACCCCAACAAAACAACTTTGATAAATGAAAGGAGATCTGATGACAAATACCTTTTAGCCTATATGTAAAAAAAAAAAAAAAAAAAGCCCTCAAATCTACATGAATGCATCGGATGGTGTGGCCGACTATCATACCATATATAGGGAAGGGTTGTTGAATGTATACATTGAAAAAATGAAACTGGACATTTGAAGCAAGCATAACCAACTTCATGGACATTTCTTTGGCTTTAAATTGACAAAAAAAAAATGGTAATGGAAAATAATAAGGGTAGCTGGTCATGGAAATAAGATTCGTTATGGTAGAAGGCTTTAATTTGAAGGCACAAAGATTGGAGTTGAAAGCTAATTTTTATTCGTAATACCTTTAGGAGTATGCAATATGGTGCCGAGAATTCAATAGTTTACGTCTTTAGGGGTGTCTTTTTATTTCATTAATCTTTCCAGAGTTTCAATAACGCATAAGCAAAATGGAGGGGCTAATGATAAAGTTATAAAATCATAAGGGAGTATAAGATCAGTAAGGCTCTAAAACAAGCTATGGAGCTTCCAATGATGCTACTATATATGGTACACTTAACGAGGAGGTACTTGAGCTACAGGTAATGGCACTTTGAGGACAAATTTAGATAAATTCATATTGGCCATCTCACTTACAGTCTTACACGATTTAACGCTTGTGTTCAAGATATTGAAGCAACATTTCTTGTATGCTAAGCTTATAAAATGTGCTTTGTGTAACAAAATAGAGTATCTGGGTCATATTATTTCAAAGGAAGCAGTAACCATAGACATAAGTTTACTTGAGGATGGGGGAATAGAGGTGGCAAAGCAGACAGCTAACACGTAAAGTTTTTTTATAGACATAATGAATAAGGTATGTTGTATCTGACATTTTAACAAAGCTATAGACATAAGTTTACTTGCATTTTCCGATCATAATTTTATATTCATGACATACTACTGCTTGTTAAAAGTTAAGAATACCAATCTTAAATTGTGTTTGAAGATGAATTTCAATACAGAAGTATACAAAAAGAAGCACTTGAAAACAATCTTCACACGTTACGTTGAATGGCAACAAAAAATGTATATACATTTGAGGGGTGAAATTGTGCAACTATGTATTACAAAAATGTTGAGGGAGGGAACCTACAACGAAGAAAAGCAACAAAAAACATACATTTACACATATGTATCTAATGTCTTCCATAAATAACAGGATATTTACCAGATGCACCTTGCCATGACCTGACCGACCCCTTCAAAAAATTCAACTTGTGCTTGTACAATTTATGAATGAACTCCCATGTAAACGTAAACATTTGTTTATATACTTTTACTTTGATTTGATTGAAGCATATCCTGAGACCAAAATCTTGAGATGATTATTCTTAATTAACAACACCCACCTTCACACATAATCTCCCCTCCTCTTGTACATCAATAACCACAAATCCTCGGCCCAACACACCGCATGCGTTCAACTGTTCCATGCAAATTCAAATCAAATTTAACAATATATATATATATATATATATATATATATATATATATATATATATATATATATATATATAATCAAGAGAGAATAGTAGTTAGTACCTGAAGAGTATGGGTTATTCGATACTTTGAACGGATGTGTACAAGTTGACATATGTATGTATTTATTTATTTCCACAACAGAAACAGACACACCCACCCACCGCTCTCAAAAAAATTTCATCTCAGGATCAAGGCCTTTTGCACATCAACAATCCAAACCAACCACACAACATTTCAACAGAAAACCATTCAATTTGAGATCTCCCAGCCCGCGTAGTTTGACCAATTTAACAACCATCTTTGACTTTGTGATTCACCCACGGCTTGTCACTCGGCTTTGATTCTCAACTCAAGAAAAGGGGACTCTCTCAAAAACAGAAAATACTAATTTAATATGCAATCTAATTCCATAGTCCTTCGCTTGATAACTGAAGCAGACCACGCATCTGAAGGTAAGGATTCTCCAATAATTTCTCATTGTTACTCTGCACACACATCAAAAACAAACAAACCATTTAAACACACTCACTTTAAATTACTCAAGTCAAGTCAAGTGCACACACACCTGTTGAGCTCTGGATACAAGAGACGAGAGTCCACGCTGGTATTTATCCGCTTCTTCAGTCATCATCCTCTGCAAAATTTATACATTTATATCAATAAATAAGACTGTTGTGATAAAAATATCTTTACCCTTTATAGTTTTTGAAAAAGAATATGTATTTTTTTTAACCTTTAAAAGGAAGGTTGAAGAGAAGTAAGCCACCCTTGAATCAGTATCATCTAACAGCTCCCTGCCAAATACCCTACAACCAATTACAACACAGTCTGCTTGCTATAGCCTATAGGTTTTAAAAAGAATCCATCTTACCTGAAGAACTCTTCACCACCGACTTCTTTAAAAGCACCAGGATCCGCAGTGCATTTACCAATCAGCAGTAAAAGAAGAGTGGATCTAATATCTGACGTGGCGCCAGGTAGGTTTCCACCTCCTTTACTCCCAACAGAAACACCAAGTGCTATATTATCGGTAGCTGCAGCAGCCAGTTGAATCAAAGGCCAGTAAAACAAATCAGCAGGCACACGTGCAACCAGTTGCATAGGAACAATCGCCTGTCCTTGAAGAAGCAATGCTGCCATTGATGCCGTCTCACTGCTGGTCGCGGTAGCAGAATTATTTTTGTTAATTCCAAATCTGCCCTTGCTATCGTCCACTGGTTCCCAGCAAAAGTTCTCTCTTACAGGGAGATCTTCCATCACGCTCGCCTTTTTATTCCAAACCGAGTAATTAAAACTCTTGCAACTACGCAATGTGTCTGCTGATGTGGGCGTGTTTCCAGGTATCACTTTCAGACACAATTGAGAAAACAGAATGTCGCACATCTATTCAAAAAAAACAGGAGTCAAAAAATGATTTTTATAATAATATAAAAAAAAATAGTTTTACCTTCAAAATATTCATACGATCCGTGACGTTTATCTGAGCCACCAAGGATAAAGCACTGCTCATAATATCTATGACAGCATTTGCTTTATCAAGACGTGTTTTCCCATGAGCTTCGTTAGTAACTGTAACCGAATGTTGTAACTCGTTTTCATCCAATAAAAATTTACATCTCATGAGAAGTCGTTCAAGAACAAAAAGGAAGCCCCATCTTATGAGATTGTTTCTGGACTTCAAAAGTCCACACATGAGCCAAATGGGTAGTGGAATATCCAATTCGGGTGAATAATCTTTAACAGAAGCAAGTGTGATTCTTTTTTGTAGATTCTTTATGTTCGACCAAATGGAATCCCCTTCGTAGTTAATCTCTGCTATAAGAAGATCACCTAACCATACATAACCGTTTTCACGAATGGCTGCACGTTCTGAATGAAGAAGAGAATGTAAAGTGGCCCATGCAAGCTTCACTTTTAAGGCATAACTGTTTCTCACAAATCCTTCCTGAAAGCTCTCTAAGTATTTGTAGGATTTTGTAAGTTCTGTCATGTGACTGAATTCTTTGTCCAGGTGAGTTAATGATCTTAACAGTGCATCAAATTTCTCCATGATTTTCTCCAATAGCTGCAGAAAAAAGAATATAAATATAAGCATTAAAAAAAAAAGTAAATCAAAAGGACAAATCAATCTTGTGATTACCAACCATATTGAGTCTTTCACTGTTGGAGTATCTTGGTAAAGCAGCAGATATGGATCTTCTTAAAATATCACCAATTCCTTCTATACCAAGTTTAACAGAAATATGTAAAGCTTCTGGAGCATCTGCAAGAGTGAGCAAGGAAGCGATTGGCTGTATCTCATCATTGCTATATTCAGAAATTCCATTAGCTATACAGCTTTCATTTATTTCATGAACAACATAGTCAAAAAGCACCAGATATAAATTTCTCCTGCCTTCTCTGGAGTTTGAGATCACTAGCTCGATGAACACAAACTCAATTCCTCCGATTACATCAACTTGATCCACAAGAAAAGTTGGTGTAGATGTGGTGGACACATCAGGGACTTCATAAAACATGTTTGTTAGCATGTTGATTAACTTGCAATGAACCAATTCTGCCCATGAGTTTCTCCTGCTAATTTGTATAAGCATTTTAATAACCTACAAATGGTACAAGTTACAGATTTTAGCCTGTAAAACTTTTTGTAAGACATATATCATTTATGCAACAAAATAACTCACTCTTATGTCAAGACCTCTTAATCTGCTTCTACGAATTTTGCCTCTATCACAAACAAAATATAGTAAACAACTAAGAGCAGAAGCCCACACAGATTCTTCCTTCTCTTCTGCCTGCAATGCATCAACATTTTTATAAGGTATCCTTTGAAAAAACAAAGAATATAAAATGCTAAAAGATTTAAAAGATATTACCTGCACCAGAAGGAGGAGGACTTCATATAAAATGCACAATATCCATGATTCAAAGTTATTTATTGCTGATAAACTTTGGTCCTTGAGGTAATCTTGCTTTATGGACATTTTTTTGTCAAGGTATGGTTCTTGGGTGTATTCTTCTTCAATGGTGGAAGCATCATCAGCTAGAAGTGGCTCCAATAAATGGCCATGAACCCCAAGGTTTAAAATTAAGTCAAAAGCACGGACTTTTGAGGTCAACTGTGAAGAGCTAAGCATTTCCTCAAGCATAGATAGCATGAGTGGAGCAGCAATCCCAGAGTCCAACACATACCTACAGAATATAAATATTTTAAATAACTTTCCACAACATCAACAAACTTTATACCGAAAATATAAAATATTCAAATTGAGACTTACATGTCGATTACAAGTTTGATTAAAACACTCACAGCCACATCCATTGATGGTTTCCCGCTACTGCTACTTAATTTAGATGAGATCGTCATCATATTAGGAGCTGGAGAAGGTTTTTCTGAACAAACTGCAGCTATAACTTCTCCCACTTCATCTGGATTCAATCGTAATGGTTGTTGTTCACTGACAAAATAAATGCACCAACAGTGAGTGCAACGATATATAAAGTATAAACCACATTCACCAAAACTGAATAAGGCTAAAGTCAGTCTCAATTGATTACAAACAGTCAGATTCTAATTTCTAAACAACTGTCATCATCAAATCTAATATCTAAACATGCAGTCATACCTGTAGTGTCTATATTGGAAAAGTGGTCGAGAACGAGGGCGGAAGGTTGTTAGAGGAGAATCTTCCCTGTAAAACAAGAACAGATGAAGGACTATATATTAATAAAGTCAACATTGATGGAATTGGAAAGTATCATAGAAAGTGTCTACATACCAAATCTGATGAGGGCCTGTTTTGGAACGTTTAGAAGCTGTTATTGCTCTCAAATGAGCACGTGCAGATGCAGAATTTGTTACAGTAGTAAGTAATGAAGGCTGTAATAGTTGATCAAGGTAAGGCATATCAATGCTACCAAAATTTCTCCAAAATTCACCCTTTGTTTTAGCTTCCATGTCTCCTAAAAGAAGGGCAGCAGCACCTACTTCAAGAAAATTGTGCTTACTCATGTCTTGATGATTCAAAGGACTATCAGAAGAAAGCAAAGATGATTGTGGGTCCCCATGCCATCTCCATTTGAACACATCACGGGCTATGAATTCATCGCCTTCAATTCCATCAATATCTTCAGGAATCGGTGAATCCAGAACGGAAACAGAAGAACCTTCTTTGTTCTCGGAAGGTTCTTTACCGATTCCAGGGCTAATTTGGGAATTGAAAGATTTACTCATTAGAGATGATAATGATGGAAGTGACTGTCTTGATGCAGAAGTAGCTCCAGCAAAAGCTGCAGGTTGGAATGATCTTTTTGGAACATGTTGAGCCACTAGAGAACGAATGTAGTTTAGTGATTTCACAAGTGCACCTGATGCAAAACTTGCAACAGGCAAAGGTGATGATACATTTAAAGTAGAGGATGAACCACCAGCTTGTCTTCTGTTTGGGCTAATATCACATTCCATGATTATATTTGAACAAAACCGATCAATTTCTAGTAGGGTCTCCTCACTTGGTTTATATCTGCAACAAAATTGCAATTTAAGTAAAGAAGTTTAGAAACACAACTGATATCTTATAATGAATGAAAATGATTCTTAACAAAAAAAGAACACCTACCGCAGGAGATAACGTTTCAAAAGAGCCACACACCTTGCAACTACTGCAGGGCTGTTACAGATGAGAAAATGAATCAGGGGGTAAAATCTAACTAGTGTGACTGACATTTGATCAAATAAAAACAAAAGTTTAAGCTGTCAGTAGTATGGAAAGAACAAATATAAGAATAATAAATATATGCATATGTTAAGCATTTATTGGAGGTATATGCGAAAGATTATAATAAATAACAAATATATATTGAAAACCTTCGTTCTCTCTCTGCAAGTGTGTGCTCTATTATCACACCATAGGCCAGGTCAGTAGTTGCATGGGATGCTAAATAGTCCTGCCAAAAAGAAAGCAAATCTACATCACTTGTCAGAATAGGTGTTCACAATGTTAATAGTAGGATTACATTTTACATGAAACGGATAATGTTATAGATAGAAGCCTAGTAAGGACTCCTTAGTCCTTACCATTTCTTCTATATAGAAGTAACTTTATGAATAGTTTCCCAATTCCAACCACAAGCAGCTAAGTTGTGAAACTTCAGACACTAAACTGTGGCAGTACAAGTCTATCTCTATCACATATTCACATTTCATTACCATGTAACATAACTAAGTGTCTAAGTTATGACCACATAGTTTAAGAATACTCAGGTATTAGTCGCCTACACCAACTATGTGACATTATCAGTGCAGCACTTCCCCTTTGGTGAATCTATATCAAGTGAACCAGAATCTTCGATTCTAAAACTCTATAGATTCAAGGTTCTATTCTAAACTAAAGAAAGTAATATAAAGTCTTGTGACTAGATATCCTACACCATATCACACTGCATTTGCTCCATATGTAAATTTAGCTACAAATTACGAAACCACATGCAATAATGGGCACTCTAAAACTTGGTGTATGACCGAGCTCAGAGAAAGAACAAAACATAAAGGACACCTCTTTATTTTACTTTCTTCTGATGTAGTAGGTTCATAATAGTGGGAAAATAACAGTAAGGAATCAGTACTGATAATGGAACTAGAAATCTATCAAAACAGAAGAAAGGTTAAAAATCTTTATAAGGAAAGATACATCGTCTGCAAGAAGTACATCCTAAGTCCATAACTTGCTGATCACTTAATCGTTATACACAGGTTCATCTTGAAACCATGAAGTGCTTAGGTTAGTATAGCTGATACTAGACCGACTTAACATTAAATAACCTAAACTACATATTAGATATATTGACAAGCAGACCAGCAAGCAAATTTCTCTCCAACTTTAAACCCATAAGATACCCCCCATAAAGTAAAACGATGCAAAATTCACAGATTAACCATCTGGATTCCACAATTAATAATGTGCGAGCTACAATTTTCTCTACCTGCATTAACAATATAATTCCCCAATCCCTAACCATAAGAGAAATCTAACATCTACAGATAACCGAAAGTGCAATTCCATGTATAAGCACAACAATGTACAACTATCTGTATAAAAATATCATAATCCAAATAAATTCCAAATCACGCACAGCCACTATTAAACCCTAGATTCGCAAACTAAAAAACTAAGGGATCTGAACAAATAAAGCAAAAATTAACGTCCGTTCGTACCCGAAGAGTCCTGGAAGCTTCGGATACAACGGCTGAAGAGCTGCCCTGGACGGATAGAAGAGAAGAAGAGAGACAATCGGCGATTGCGCGGCGAAGAGGCTCCGGCGGTTTCTTGGACGAAGAAGATCTCATAGCCCTGGAGATACCACCAACGCCTCCTAACTGTAACCTGGAGCTCGTAGCAGGGCTACGAGGGCCGCTGTTGAAGCTCGTCGACATCGTATGTGTAGATATAGCGTCAGTGTATCTATCTATGCGAAGAAACAGTTGTTCTCACTACATCTCAACAATCGAACACTCTTTCTTCCTTCTTTATGTTGTCTATGCAAGAGGAGGCGCCTTTTTATGATTAAGAGAGAGATTATATTGTATTTTGTTGAGATGTAGAAAAATAAATAAAATATAACAACAATACTATATTCTTTTAATAATTTTTGTAAGAAGCTTCGAGTTGAAATTTAAATATCAATGAATTGTATGTGGAAATAAATAGATAAAAAACCATGTAAAATTTCAAATAAAATTAAAATTTTGAATTAAGCATCATTTCGGTTTTGTAATACGGAGGTCGATAATTGAAACGGTAGCTTCCCGAATACCTATGTCTTAAAAAAGAAATAATGATAAATATAAAAAAAAAACATAAAAATATTTATATAGTGTTCATCGACCTCTATAAATGTATAATAATCATGTTAAATGATATTGATACAGTTTGAAAGATCCTGAAACTTATAACGGTTTCAAAAAAGATACGTTTAGGTTAAACACGGTATGTAATGTTGGTCGAAGACGTATCTAATCTCTTAATGGTAACATATAATATTTCTTGGTAAAAATCAGGTTATATCATGTATAAATTTTTCAGAGGTACATGTTCGTTTTGATTTTAAATGATATTTCTCTTTAGATTCAATAATAGCTATCATGGTATATGTTTTTTTTTACAACATTTTGTTGGATGTAGATGTTATGACTAGTCAAATGTTATGTTTGATACATATAAAACTAAGTGTGTGTGTGTGTATATATATATATATATATATATATATATATATATATATATAGTTAAGATGAAATGTCTTTGTTATGTAATGATTATGGAGTAGAAATAGGTATCGAGGAGCATGTACTACACTCATTGAGATACATGATCCATGAAGAAGAGGATGTTGGCGATGATGTTATCCTGGCAATTAAAATGAAGGGCAACCACGAGAAAAATGTGTGTTAAGAATGTTAGTTGAAATTGGGAAAATTTCCAAAGGATGATACTTAGGTCTCTTAAGAGATGTGTATATAAGGTATGTAATAAAATAATAGTCGAGAAATAAGTAGCATTAAAGAAAGACGAATGTTATGTAAATAAATATGATATAATGAGCATACATTAAATCTTTGTTGGATATAATTGATGGGTTTTTGGTCATAAGACATCCTATGTGCTCATACAAACCCTAATGCTTAGATC